AAACAAGGCAACAAAAGATCAACACCAGACAAAAGAAACTCATCAAGGTAATTCCTTTCTAGAAATGAAGCCATTCAGTAGTATCATACCTATTAGACTCCAGGAAGAAATGAACAATAACTTTGCATTGCTACCAAATCTTTAACATTAAGAAAACAGATGGAATGGTACAAACTATTACAAGTGCAAGATACATCGTGAAGCAGAGGTCAGAAAATTTGCTCTGTTTTGTCACTACCAAGTCCTGTGTAAGGCTTGGGGCAATGGTTTGAGATAAGTGAATTTTGTTGTTTTTGGAGGGTTTCTTTGAGACGGTGCCTCACTCTGATCTAGTTATACTCACTGTATAACTGTGGTGGTGTGAATGAAACCGGCCCCACTATATAATGTATTAGTCCTCAGTTGATGAACTTGGGAATGATTAGGAGATGTAAGCCTTGGTGAAGGAGGTGTACAGCTGGGGGTGTGCTTTGAGGTTTCAAAAGAATATTCCAAGCTCAGTCTCTCTCTCTCTCTCTCTCTCTCTCTCTCTCTCTCTCTCTCTCTCTCTCTCTCTCTCTCTCTCTCTGTCTCTCTTTCTCTCTGTCTCTCTCTCTCCCTCCCTCTGTCTCTCTCTGCCCTCTGCCTGTAGATCAGGATGCAAAGCTACTACTCCAGTGCCACACCTACCAGTTTTGCACCATGCATGCTATGTACTAAACCCCCGAAACTGTAGGCAACCCCCCTAATTAAATGCTTTCTTTTATCAGAGTAGCTGTGGTCCCGATGTCTCTTCACAGCAATGGAACAGTAACTAAGACAATAGGCTGGCCTTGAACTCATAGCAATCCTCGTACCCTCTGCCTCTTTAATCCTGAGGTTATAGGTGGGGACCCTACCAAGCTGCAAATAAGACCTCAAGTGTTTTGTTTGTGTGTGTGAGATAGGGTCTGATTTGGCCCAGCCTAGCTTTAAGCTTGCCATGTAGTCAGGTATGACTTTGAACTCCCGATCCTCCAGTAATTATATGCCACCGCTTCTGCTTCTTTTGTGATTTTTGGGAACCAAACTTAAGACTTCATGCATGCCAGGTTACTGGGCTACATCCCAGCCTGGGAATATTTCTAAGGTTCCTTTTTTCCCAGAATTATTTTGCCTAGCTTGCCCCAAATAATCAAGATTTCTTCAGATTTCTAATCTGAGCTTGATATAATTGAATGTGTTGTATATACCCATCCATCAATTTATGGATCTCTCCCACCTACCCATCAATTGCTCCAAAGCAAGCTCATTTGCATAGATGCAGGGCATCTTTCCCCTCCAAGACCAGGAGGCTTTTCTTTTTCCCTTCTGTCTAAGATAACCCTATCTATTCATGTGTTCTGATCCTGATACATAGAGCAGAGAGCAAAGGAGGAAACGCCGAGATGCTCTGTTTTGTACCTGCATTCAAAGGCAGCATCTGCTATGTCTGTGGGACCATCTGTTGCTCACTTCGACATGGAAAAGATAGTGCAGGCCTCAGAAGTGGTGTCAGAGGTCACACACACCCAGACATATGTTCCATAGTCACCAAGGCTTACATCACTGCCCTCATCCAGGAGTGTATTTTCTTATGAAGAATGGTATTGCCAAACTCTCACAAAGGGTGGAGTCCAGTTGGTTTTTGCTGTTGTTGTTATTTTGTTTTTAAATCTGGCTTGCCTAAATATCAATTAAATTATCTAACCTCAGGTTCTAACTAGAGCTGTGTCTTCCACTAACTCACTCAAGGTCTTTTATAGGCATACCACCTATAAAGTGAGAACTGAGCTTAGTGACCACCCAGGCTCCCTTGTGTTCAAACGAAACCTTAAGCCAATTCAAAACCATGAAGGAAACCCACCAAGTTCCTCCATCCCAACAGTACACTAAGACTCTTAATGCCAATGACAGGAGGATCCACTGCAGATGAAAAGGCTTCTGGGATATGATCTGTGTTGAGCAACAAGAGTTAAGCAAATTTTGTGAGGATCCAAATTAAACTAAGATTCCTAATTTGCTAACATCTGGCTGACCTGGGGAAGAGCTCTAGAACAGGGCTTGGGCCAGAGAGTTCTGTGTGCTCTACACATTGCAGGGTATTTAACAGATCTCTATTCAAAGGACACTGGTTGTTATTTTCCTACCCTCAGTTGTGATAATCAAGATACACTTCAGACTGGATGCCACCTCCTCTTCCTGAGAACCACTGCTAAAATACATCGCAGGGCTTTAGGACATCACTCAGAAGGTGTTTATGTTTCAAATGGATGACATTCCTGCAACTAATAAGTAAGCACAGGGAGATTTAGTGACACATTATAAAGCACAGGCATTCTTGGAAAATGTGTAAAGCTCCTGTCTTTCCCTGTCACCTGTGGCACTACCTCTCTCCCAATGGCTGCAATCTAGTACCCTGTAGGGTCAATTGTCATAACCACAAACCCAGCTGCTTTTAAACATTATGCAAAAACTAGTCAAGACTCCAGACTTGATTTCTTCATTGTACTCCACAACCCATCATGCTTTAGAGTCTTCAACAATGATGAAAGGAGTGAAAACCAGAGTCTGATCAAATCAACTTTGGCTTTTTCTTCTCTCTCCTGAGAATACCGGCAAAAGTGGTTAACTTTGGCCAGAGTTGTTGAAGACACATGCTAAACCTTTGCCTGTCTTCTTATCTAGCATTTCTTGTTTGCCCCAAAAGGATCAAGCAGACATCTCTGCAGTCATGCTCACCCCAAAAGAACAGCAGCTGCCAGCTGCAGAGAAACGAACTGAAGCCTGAAAATTGACTACAATGATGACGGCTCTTAACCAAACATCTCATTTCGCCATTTGTGAGAGAGCTAGGATTTGCAAACTTCCCTGCCTCGGGAGTAAAAGCTACATTAACTGAAAGCAAAAACTCAACTCTCCTCCCTTTGTCAAAGTTTGGAGACGCTGTACAGAGTTTCTTAATTATGTGCAATGTTGAAGTTCCACAAGTAATTTATCAGGAAAAATAAATACATAAAAACCTTTTAAACAACTAAGTCCGAGATACAAAAAGGTAACCTCAAAAGACACAACTGTTACTTTTCAGAGAACCATAGCTCTTTATTCAAATAAATATTTACACAATTGAAGCCAATGGCACCAGGCATATTCTGCTAAAATAGTGGGCTACTCTAAACGTTTGTTTATCCCAAAACCAACTACTCTGTTGCTATCCTACAAGGAACAAAGAATTCAAGTGTTCCAAGGGCAAAAGTTTAATCCTATGGAACTGTGAACCATATTTGGAGGCTCCTAGCTAACTTCAGACGTTTGAAATCCAAAGAAAAAAATCTCAAACGTCCAAATTAAGCCCACGTTGGAAGCTTAGTTACAAGCATCACAGTTGAAAATGTACATCTGTAACTTACACATTCATATTCTGGAGGGAAATGCGGCTAGCGGATATTTCTACTAACGGACTCCACATTTTATGTCTCTTCTAGACCCCTCACAGCTGTGACGGCTATGTAGCTGTGCATCCTAGAACTCGAGTAATTTCAGAACCACAAAAGAAGACTTCCAGGGAAGAGGGCTGGGCCGGGCTAAAGGATTTCTAGCCCTAGCCGGTCCATATAAAAGGCTGCAGGAGTCTTCCCTCTTTTAAGTGAGAAAGGTAAATGAGGAACCGCTGAAAGAAGGTTGGACTTGTAAAGCTTTTTCAAACAGGAAATCCCAACCCGGGAAGGGACAGCCCGTCAGCCTTTTAATTTCCTGGCGGTGGCGGGAGTTAGCCAGGTCTTTGGCGCTTCAAGTGCTGATAGCTGGGGCAAAGTTACTGAGCGCACCAAGAACAATTCAGCTGCTCCTCGCCGTGTAGGGAGCTGCTGAAACAGGGTGGAAAGGATCCCAGGACTTGTAGCTGCCATCACTAAGCGAAGGGAACACCGTACCATCTAGGGAAACTATAGCTGAATCGCAATCACGGGCTCCTGGTGAGAATCTCCGTCCGGAGGCTCACCCTGCAGCCTCACTCTGGAAACAAAGTACAGCTAGAAGCCTAATTCAAAAACGTCCTCTCGGAGTCCCACACTCAACAGGATCCAAGGGAAACTATAGCTGAATCGCAATCACGGGCTCCTGGTGAGAATCTCCGTCCGGAGGCTCACCCTGCAGCCTCACTCTGGAAACAAAGTACAGCTAGAAGCCTAATTCAAAAACGTCCTCTCGGAGTCCCACACTCAACAGGATCCAGCTGTGGTGGATCTTCTCTTTCCCCGGGTTCCAGATCTCTGCCTAAGCGAGTTTCCGCGAAAGTTGCCTTGGGGATCCTTAATTAAATCCTGCCTTTTCGCCGCAACCACTCTAGAGGCGTCACCGTACTAGGCGCCCTTTCCCCACGAGCCCTCCACCCGACATCTTCATGCATAAGGAGGGCACAGTATCCTAGGGTTGTACGGTTCCGGCTCTACAGACCCCTGCCCAGGCTTTTGTCCCTACAGCCTGCAAGGGAAGCAAAGAAAATCTGCGCCCAGGGCGCCCACTCACCAGCTCATCTTTCTCTGTACTCGCAGCTTTCTCCACAGGTCCCGCTGCCCTAGGGCCTGGCCCTCGCTCCCGCCCTCCTTCCCTGGGGTCCTAGCCCGGGTCCCCGCAGCCACCGCAGCCGCCACAGCCAGCCAGTCCCTGAGGCCGCGCACCGCGCACTCCGGGCGCCCCTCCCGGTGGGGGCGGCCACCGCCTCCTCTCCGCCCCCGACCTCCGCAGCGCGACCGGCGGCTACCAACTCGACTGCGGGGGACTCCGTGTCCTCAGGCGGCCGCCAGGGTTCGCAAAACAGCTCAGTCCGCTCCTCTAGGCCCACTGTAGCCCTCTACTTGCCTAGGGTGACGAGGCGGCCAGGTGCCCGCGGCCACTCAAGGCAGACGCACTGATTTGCTCCGTGCCACACTCAGCAGCGCCCCTCGGACAGCGATGGTGGACTCCACGAAGCTCGGTCCCTGGTCCCGACCCCCTCCCGAATCACAGCAGCCGGTCCTTGGAGTTCCAGCTGTGAAGTCAGGGAGCCTTCCGGCTCCCAGGTTGCTGCTGCTTTTATGGAGGCTGGAGTGCCCTGGCTGTTTGTCACATCACCTGGCTCCACTTTCTCAGCAATGTAATAGAAACCTTTGTAACTGGCTTCTTTCTTTCTTTCTTTCTTTCTTTCTTTCTTTCTTTCTTTCTTTCTTTCTCTCTCTCTCTCTCTCTCTCTCTCTCTCTCTCTCTCTCTCTCTCTCTCTCTCTCTCTCTCTCTCTCTCTCTCTCTCTCTCTCTCTCTCTCTCTCCCTTCCTTCCTTCCTTCCTTCCTTTCTTTCTTTCTTCCTTCCTTCTTTTCTTCTTTCTTTCTGAAGGTAGAAATGGGACAGGAGAACGCACGTCCTCGGGTAGTGATTTCCTCCTGATGATGAAGTTTTTGCTCTGGGAAACTCCAGGTGACCGCACCTCTGCCACATACTTTTCTCCCCCGGGGCAGGTTTACCTGATGCGTCAGAAAAGCAGCTGTGCCAAACAGCAGTGCAACGCCTGGGGTCAGGGCAGGAGTGAGGAGACTCTAAAACTATGTGACACCGATTTCCTTGGAATGGTGTCTCATAAACGGTTCTGTGTTTTTCATATGTTTAACATAACCAGTGAAAACTATACTAATGTGGACTTCTTTCACTTTGCTTCCTTGGGAGGTTAGGAAATGGACCGGGGTACGACCCACAGTCTGTCTTCAGGCACCCAGATGTGACTGTCTGCAAAGTTATGGCCCAGTGGGGTGACAATGATGAAAGACAGCCATCCTGGAGGAACTCACAGCCTAAGGAAAGCGCAAGGACCGGAAAAGCTCTTTAACTAATAACAATGTCGCCTGGGCCAGTTGTTTTAGCTACCAGCAAGGATGTCTCCAAGGTGGTAAAACCGAGGTATGGGTGGTGCTGGTGCCGCAAGGCAGCCTCTGCTTCATCTATACAAAATGCCTGGAGCCGTGAGTACACTCATGCAACACAACGCCTGTTTAAAATGTTTCACTTGTGTAAGTAAAAGTCTGACTTTTTAAATTAAATGTATTTTACTATGTATGTGTTTCTGTGCATGGATGTGCACGTGAATGGAGGTAAGGGGGAGGGGGCAGAAACGACGTGGGTTTTGACAGTCAGACTCCATCTTCTACAAGAGGGGTACAGCTCTCAGAAGCTGAGCAACCTTGCCAGCCCCTAAAGTTTGACCTGTAATTTCTAAGGCAGCCATTCCTATAAAAAATGGTTTGCGTTTTCGAGTATTCTCTGCCCACTACCCCAGTAGGATTTACACCACAGTTATAAATTCACATGAGTTACACACTGTCTCTTCCACTCATCTCCATCAACTTAAAATCACTTTCCGAATCTCAATAAAAATACAGACATTCTTGACTCCACTTATTACCTTTCAATTCTCTTGCTGCTTAACTGTAAGAAAACACCTTTCAGGAAATGAGAAACGCTGTCTCCACTTTCTGCCCTCTCATTTACTCCAGTCAGAGGTCGCTTTTACTGTGAAGCCTTGAGCTTGAGTCACCCAAAGGAAAGATTGCTCCTCTCCAGGTATGGTGGTACATGACAATAATCCTAGCACTTGTGAAACTGACTCAAGAGGATCAAGAGTTCCAGACAAGCTTGGGCCTCATAACAAGTTGGGACCAGCCTGAGATATGTAATGAAGACCTGACTCAATATACCAAGGGCTGGCTATTGCAATCAAAATGGTAGTTCTTCAGAAAATTGTGAATAGATCTACCATAAAATCCAGCTATACCACTCTTGGGCACATACCTAAGGGACACTCCACCCTACCATAGGGATACTTGCTCAGCTATGTTAATTGCAACATTATTCATAATAGCCAGAAAATGCAAACAACTTAGATGGCCTCCACCAACGAATGAAGAAAGAAAATGTGGTACATTTATATAATGCAGTATTACTCAGCCGTTAAAAAAAAAAAAAACATTTGTAGGCAAATAGATGGAACGAGAAAAAAATCACCCTGAGTGAGGTAACCTAGACCCAGAAAGACAAACATGGTATGTACTCATTCTCATAAGTGGATATTAGCTGTAAAAAATGATAATCAAACTATAGCTCACAGTTCCAGAGAGGTTAGGTAAAGAGGAGGACTCTACAGGAAATGCATGGATCTCCCTCCCATCTACACCTCCAGCCCACCTGTAGATGGGAGTGGAGGGATCAGTTGTCTGGGGGTGGGGACAACACTGTAAATCAGCATAAGCAAATTCAAGCCCTGATTTCTTAGCCCATGGGGTTGGGAGAAGTTCATCTCATTCCTCAGCAGCAATGACCAGCTCATCAGTAGTTCCTTTCTGTATTCTTGCTTCCTTTGGCCTAGCCACTGAGTACTCAAAGTTCAGATTTGGGATCTGTTTTCAATCTATTGCTTCCAGTAGTACTGTCTTTCTGCCCCATGGAACTAAATCCCATCATGTGTTGACTGTTCGAAAATTTCACATCCAGACCAACCCCCTCCCTGGAATCTCAGGCCCTTAGTAGCTACCCACATGGATGCCTACTGATCTTGTAGTTACCATTGTCAACACTGATTCCTTGAAAAGTTTTCCCCTTTCCAACTACTGTTTTCCAACTGAAGTCATCCCATATTGTGTCTAAAACCTTATGTCAGCTTCGAATTTAAATTCTCTCCAACCCATCAGGAAGTCTTTTCTGCATTTTCTAAAACAAAAACAGAACTCAACTACTTACTACCTCACTGTCCATCTCAGATAGATCTCACTCATCTGCCATACTGTCTTGACTTTACCCTTGCCCTGTCTTTGCTCTCTTACAGGGACTGTCAATACAGACACGAGGGTGATCATTGTAAAACATTAGGCCACACAATCTAATCCTTTCCTTATAATTCCACTGTGACCCTATTCAGTCTAGGCAAAAATCATGTGGTGGCCTGTTGGAGAAATTGTGACCAGCCTACCAAAGCTGCAGTTGCTCTGCCCCACCCCCCATACCCAGCAGGCACTTCCTTCCTGTGTCAAGTCTGCTCCTCTGCCCAAAGACAAAGAAACACCTGAAATGAACTTGATGTCTACCTTATATGCCATCCTAGAACCTTCATCCAGTGACTGATGGAAGCAGAGGTAAACACCCACAGCTAAACACTGAACTGAACCCATGGAACCCAGTGAGAGTGGAGTGATGAGCAAATGGGCAAAGAATGGGCTGGCAAAGCCAGCAGGGACAGCTGACCTGAACAAGGGGGGAGCTCTTGGACCCCGAACCAACAGCTGGGAGGCCAGCATGGGACTGATCCGGACTCCCTGGGTGTGAGAGTTGGTAGGGAGGTCTGGGCAACCTGTGGGGCCCTGGGCAGTGGATTAGTGTTTGTCCCTGGCATACAGATGGACTTTGTGTGTCCATGGCATGGGGAGGGATGCTCTCTCAGCCTGGACTCTTGGGAGAGGGCCTGGACCCTGCCCTGAGCTAGGTGACAGACTCTGGATATCCCCTGTGTGGAGGGAGGTGGGAATGGGGTAGGAGGCTGGGGGAGGGGGAATGGTGGGAAGGTGCAGGAGGAGGGGAGGGAGAAGGAGCTGGGATCGACATATGAAGCAAGTTCTTTTCTAAAAAAAAAAAGTAATAAATTTTTTTCTTGAAAAAAAAAAAAAAAGAAACACTTGACCCATAGGAATCAGTAGCCTGAGCCCATAGGACCTTGGGAGGGGGTATAAAGGTAGGTCTAACTTCCTTAATAAATGCTCTGAATCTCAGTGCCTGAGTCCTTGGCACTGCATCTTCTCCCCCTCCCCCCCCCAAGGAGTGTCCAAGTAGGGTAACCTGCAACAGTAGCCTAGAAAGACATTGTTGACCTACCCTTCTCTAACATTACCTCATGCTTCTCTCACTCAGTTCTCAACACTATGTCCTCCTCAGTATCTCTGCATTTGATTCCTAGAGACTGTGTATTTGCCTCAGGACCTCTGAGCTAGCTGCCCATCTGTACCAAACTCCCCAGCCCTCCCCACTCCGTGTATCTGTATAGCTTGGCCTCTCACTTCCTTTGCTTAAATATAACTATGTTGCTCATGCCTTCCTTACCACTCTGCTTAAAGTCTAAGATGAACTTTCCATACTAATACATTTTCTCTATTTTGTAATTGTAATTTGTAGTCTAATAGTGTCAGTCATCTTCCTATTACTGTAATAAATACCTGAGATAACAAACACATAAAGAGAAAAGGTATAGGCTCACACTTTAGGAGATTTCAGGCCTCAGTTGAATGGCTAAGTTGCTTTAGGTCTGTGACAAGGTAGCACATACAAGTGGAAGACCAAAACTCATTTCTAGGAAGCAAGAGGGTGGAGCTGGTCAGTGACCTCTAGCTTCTATTTTTTGTTTTTTGTTTTTTTTTGTTGTTGTTGTTTTGTTTTGTTTTTTAAGACATTAAGACATTGTCTCATCATATCTCACTGGCTCGCTTAGGACTCCCTCTGTAGACCAAGCTGACCTAAACTCAGAGATCTGCCTGCCTTTGCCTCCAGAGGACTGAGGTTAAAAGTATGCATCACCACATTGGGCTTAGGATTTTACTTCTTAAGTCTTCCATCTCCTCTCAACAGTACAGTAAATTAGAGACCAAGCCTCCAGCAAGAGGGCTTTTGGGTAACACTCCAGATCTCTAGTTGTAAACTGTCCAAGTCACAAAATGTACTCCTAAATTATGTTAGCATCTATACAGCCTAACTGGAATGGGAATTCCAGACAGACAGAGATTTTTATCTGTTCCTCCCCATGCTATCTCACCAACAAACCTAGAATGTTCCCTGGCATAGAGTTCACAGACGTGAATGAATGATGGTTTTGACCCAATGCTTATAGATGACTCCCTGTCTGAAATATGGTAACCAATACACTTGACCTAGATAATTATTCTGCAAGAAATTTGTGTGCTAACACAATACACACGAATTGCTATTATTCATGACTAAGAAAAACATCACTGATATTTATTAAAAGGAACAATTACTGTCCCAGTCATTCTTCTAAATACATGGTGGGATACAGATGTTTAGCTGTACTATAGTGTTCATATTGTAAAGGGGAAAAGGAGACCCCAAAAAGTCCCATTTGCCCAAGTATTCGGATTAGCAGAAGCAGCGTTTGAGTGCAGGCAGCAGGATTCTAGAGTGTTCACACCCTTAAATGCTACCGCACACCTCACCTCTAGAATGAATACTAGCAGAGGAATGTCTGCGTAGTGACTAACTCCTAATCAGTAGACAAAAACTAATGTTCACTGTCTTGCTGTCTCTGATGATAACTACATTTCTCAAAGGACAAGGGGTCATTTTATTCATATTTATGTGACTCACACTCTAGGGCTTGGGAGATAGAGAAAGGGGATATCAGAAAGTACTCATTTAATATGGTTTTTAAAGTCACTAAATGCAGCAGGGCTTCTCTTGATGAGTCAGAGTAGTTTCCCTCTGTTTTATAATATCGAGGCAGCCTGAAGAGATAAGAGATCTACCCGAAGGTAAAAGTGGTAAATTGAATTAAATTAAATATTAAAATGAGACCTTTAATGTCTTAACACATCAATGGGATCACTCAGTAAATAACTACTGTAATCCCCATTACACCCACTTTATGTGATGCTGGGGATTGAACCCAGGACCTTGTACATGCCAGCCAAGCACCTTACCAAATGAACTACCTTCCCCAACCACTTCTGAGAGAGCATCCTAATCATCCACTAAGGGCATGGGCCTGGAAACCACACAACATACTGTCCTTTGTTGTTTACCTCTCTGGGATCAAACTGATTATAAAACTTTTTCTTATTTGGCTATGTTTTTCAACTTTTCAAGTGGGAAAAAATAAAGTTTTGTCACACACATGTGCATACACACACACACACACACACACACACACACACAATAACAACTAAAATAATTCTGACAATAAAAGAACAGCTGGAGGTATCCCCATTCCTGATTTTAAGATATTTACAGAGGACAGCATGGTATTGTCATTAAAAACAGATACAATGAT